GGCCGGCCGTCGCGCAGTGGGCCGCTCCGGATGTGGGCGCTCTTGGTTGCGCGGCGGTGGATACGAGGTTTTGGAATGCTTTATACAACATTGCATTACTTAAAATGATACGAGGCATTGAATATTTCAATAATGTGGGATAATGGGTAATTGGAAACCGTGGATGGTTCGAATTAATGGATAGATCGAAGTGTACAATAGTTCTAAATAGATAATAGCTCTAAATAGAGAATGGTTCGAAATAGAGAATGGTTCGAATTAGAGAAAGGTTCGAATTAGAGAAAGGTTCGAATTAGAGAAAGGTTCGAATTAGAGAATGATTCGTAATAGAGAATGGTTCGAAATAGAGAATGGTTCGAAATAGAGAATGGTTCGAAATAGAGAATGGTTCGAAATAGAGAATGGCTTGAAATAGAGAATGGCTTGAAATCGACCAGTGTTCGGAATAGCGGATGATTCGAAAGAGACGATGGTTCGAAAGAGAGGATGGTTTAAGATAGAGGATGATTTGAAATCGAGGATACTGACACGGGATTCAGTTTCCATTTGGGAGCATGGTGGAAAGACATAGGTGAACTTCGCGCATCAATATTTTTAATGAATGATATATTGATTGAATCTTTTAGATTATGAAGAAAATACTCAAAACTGATCTATAGTATATTCTAGAATCCAATTAGTTGGCGTAGTGGACTCGGGGCCTACGCGTCATTCAAGACGGCGTGTGCAAGGCTTGTCAGAAATTTTCTTGCATACGCGTCCTTCATTCATTAAACAATTGTGAATGCTTATTGCGAATATGATACTTAATGGAATATTCGATAACACTAAGTAGTTTGAAATTAGGAACAGTGAATAGGTCGATAATATGGGATTCGAAATAGTGGATGGTTCAAGATAGTTCATAGTTCGAAATAGTCAACATTTCGAAGTAGTGGAAGGTTCGTAATAGATATGATTCGATTGATTAGTGATTCTGGGCGGGTCAAGTGCTAAGGACATTACTCCTGTAAGCGTAGAGCATGTTTTTTCCTCGGAAGGTGGCGGTGATCTTCCCAATTAACTGGCGAGATCCGCCGCAGACACAACGTCGACTTGAGGGGTTTTCTCCAACCTGGTGTCTCCCACCAACGTGGCACCGTCCCAGCCGGGACAAGCTCCAACACTAGGCTCCCGACTGGGCTCCTGACATAGGGTGGTAGTATAGTGTGTGTATAAGGAAGAGAGAGAAGAGGACAAGAAAGAGGAAAGAAAGATCGCCCGTGGCCCATGGCCCGTCTATTAGGGTTCTGCTCCGGCATTTGCCTGGTGTTGATCAGAGAAACTAAGAAAAACTACCGATGAGAGCAGCCGGACGATAGAATTCTCCTCCAGACATCAGCTGAAGTCGATCTAGCTAGTGTCGAAAGTCCTACCACCGTCGGGATTCGAACCTAGGACCTCTCGGTCAGAGGCACTGCAGTGCCAGTTGATGCCCTGAACCTCCTTTGCCGGCGAGAGAACGATTCGAAGTAGATAACTGGACATGGAGAATAGCATGTGATGCCCCGCTGGTGGGAGAAACCTGGTTGAGGAAAACACCCCGTCAGCCGCCGGTAGATCGGTCAGCGCCGAATCTCACCATCCAGCCAGGAAGACACACCGTAACGAACACGTTCTACACTTCCAAGACCAATGACCCGTTTGGGCCCACAGTGCTCCATCTCTCGCGCCGCCCCGCTCCCCGCCCCATCCCGCGCGGCTGGCCTTGGTCTCTTCTCCGCCGCCGCCGCCGCCGCCCCTCCCCTCCCCATCCCCCCCGCGATCACGCTGTGTGACGTCACGCACTCAGCCGCCGCCGCCGTCATCCGATGCGAGCGGGTCGGTTTTCCTCCAGGGGCCGCCACACCCACACCGCGGGGTCAAGGTGCCGCGGAACGCGCTATTTTAACGATTGGGTTGGTTCGTTCATTGATTGATTCGTGTTTCCCGGAACGTTAGTCTCGTTGGTGACAGAATGTTGTTTTTTTTATCTCTTCGACCATTTAATAACAGGGAGTTTAGCCGGTCCGATGGCCGAGTTCGTTGGAGTAGTAGTGACATAGCGGTCTCGGACCAGAAGACCGCGGGAGTCCCGCCTCGTACATGGGTGTATTGGTGTATGTCTGAATGTCTGCCGTCCTTTCATCCCTCTCCATCACCATCGTATCGTCCATACTCCCGGGCTATCAACCTTGGGGAGAAGAAGGAAGGAAAGAAAGAAAGAAAAAGAAAGAAAAAGAAAGTAAGAAAGAAAGAAAGAGAGGGTGAAAGAGTGAAAGAGAGAGAGTGAAAGAGAGAGAGAGTGAAAGAGAGAGAGAGTGAAAGAGAGAGAGAGTGAAAGAGAGAGAGGGAGAAAGAGAAAAAATAATAAAAAGAAAAAAGAATCTTGTGCAACGTGGAATGATAAAACACTATTGATATCCGCATTTGCGCAGTTCAAGTTTTGCGTTACATTAGTGCAAATGCGCACTGTTACAGCGTGGACACTTTCCCTACTATACATATTCCAGTTGTAGGTCTAATTGACGAATGGCATCGACTACACCTATGTGGATTCCACTTCGGAATCCACGACCTGTCGACTAATCACATTCCTAGAATTTTCGGAATCAACGAGCAGAATTGCGTTCTGTTTGCAATTCGCGCATCTTCTGAACCTTAGTAGAGAAGTGAATGATTTTCCAGTTTAATGTACGTAACCTAGATATAGTTGTACCAGTATTTCGCGGAAAAAAATGTCTTGTCTGTCTAATAGTACCACACGCAAACAAGCCTTTTCATCATGGGTAAGTTGGAGAAAAAATTATCCAAAACAGGCAATATCCTCACCCTTCAAAACCTTGTATTAACTTGGCAACTACTCTTTCTCACAGAGACTGACATGAACTTCCTCATTTCCCTTTAAACAAGGAAACAACTAAGTAGTAGCCAGTAACAGAACAAGCAAGTACCCACATTTTGAAACGCCATTTTACTGGCTTCAAAGACATTACTGCTTCAATGAAGTATGACCTTTGAATTTTATCATTGATTTCTCTACTGCCAAGAACCTACAGGGATTGAACTAAATTTCTCATTCACATGGTCTATGAGCGGTTTTACTTTATACTGTTTGTAATTTGGATCTCCTTTTTCTGGAAGAGCAGTGTTGGCATTCAAATGTAAGTAGCGTAAAATTTCGAGGAATCTTTTGAGAGGCATTACACTTGATACTCGCTCATTAAGAAAATTAGAATCACTACTCCCAAACAGGCGCAGGCTTGGTAAAGAATTTGAGAGCCATAATAATTAGAATTCTCAGAAAAGCATTGTTCCTCAACAGAGAGATTGAGAGTAGAATTTTGCGTTGCATACAAATTTGATTGCAACAAATTCCAAGAATTTAGAAATCAGAATCATCATGAAAATTTCCAAATGGCTTTTCAAACTTTTCTGCAGCATTATGCGAAATTCCAAACACTTGAGTGAAGCTTGCATTCAAAAATTCTTGCGGGGTGCGCCCAATTCGATTCCACCCAAAAACACTGTCATCACTAGAATCAGATTCATCACCCCAAGTATATCTTCATCACCAAACACCACGACATCCTGCTCGCTATTGCGTGGATGTCGGACATTAAATTGCCCTGCTGTCGACAAATTCCTCGTCGTGTGCCTCCGTGTTGATAGGGGCCCAGTCGTCGGCGTCTGAATCAGCTTCCGCCTCGGAATTCTCAGCCATGTCCTCAGTAATACAGACGATATTGCGAATGCCTTCCTCTGATAACCTCGACATGACCTGAGTAACATAACACGTTCTTGTAATAGATATTCATGATGTATGTGTATAATTCCTACATGTCAATACTCAGTAATAGAAGTCATGTCGCACAAGTACACAAAACTATGTATTAACATCGTGGACACAAATATTCAGGAGATTTTTTTTTCATTTATCAAAACTTTGATGTTCAAGAAATTGAAATACAAAAATTAAATTGCTTAAAAAGCAAGAATTAGGAATTTATATTACAGAATAGAAGTGTACGATTGCTGTAGAGATTTCCCGTATAATGAGAAAATATTGTAAAAAAATAGGAAAATATATTATCTATTTGCATTAAAACGTTGTAATCTTATTAGTCATTAAAAACTCACCCTTTAGAAATCGTACAGTATGCAACCAAACGTCCTCGATCGTTCACAAAGAGTGCCCGCGTGGCACACTCCCAGGTCTCCAACGTATGTATCACATTTTGCGCCAAAACAATTGAAAACTATTAAGGCGGGATATTAAAGAAATGGCACTAATATATACCCCAGAACGTTTGAGAACCCGAAAAAGAACAAAAGTGGCAACATAGCTTTATGACTGAAATAAAATACTACACCCAGCGCTACATATGAACAAGAGAACTATAAAGGGCTAGGATATTTTTGAGTCATCGGCTGAATTCGACCTGCAGCTGTACCTCTCATACAAAACCCAT